TTTATCTTTAGGGTAAAAACACTATTTTAACAGTCGTCCCTGTCTTCTGTGTCGCAGGGGTTTGTCGTGGCGCTCCTTTACTGTTTCATGAATGGAGAGGTAGGTGAATGTTTGTTATACAAATTCCATCAAACACTTATCATAGCTGACTTTGAGCAAGAAATCAATTCACCTTCAGTTCCCCAGATGGACGGCAAGTCTCCACTTCTTGTAGCCAAAAAATTATTCCTGACATGAGCGATGCCAACTTGTGATTTTAATGACCTATACTGACATACAGTATTATCCATCTTTAAATACAGTCTGCAACTTCCACTGTTGTGTGCAAAAGTATGATGTGTGAATTGTCCACACACACACACACACATATATATGTTATGTCTGTATAACTCTTGTCTGTTATTATTTCACACGTCTTCATCTCCAGGTCCAGGCAGAGCTGCGGAGGTGGCTGTTGAAGTGTCACAGTCAAAACCATCTGACTCCAGCCAAGAGAAGTATCACTCAGATCACAATTCGAACCCAGAGGGGGCTCGGGCGGCCTCCTACTTGTGGCAACATCTCCTCAGTATGATTTTAGACACTGTCCATCAGAAAAAAATACAGAATAGCAGAGACTAAAGCTAAATCTGCTGTTCGACTCAAAAACCCCTGTGTGAGAACACAAGACTATAACAAACACTGCTGAGCCACTGAAGATGTGTCAGGATGCTTTTCATCAGCTGACTCTGAAAGGACGGTACAACACACGGTTCTACACTGTGGGCTCTCCACCAACAAACACGAACTCTGGTGCTTGAGACCGCAGTGGAAACGGAGGTGACGGAAATATTTTCAAATGGTTTTGTTTACGGGTTATACATGGGTACAATACGAACAAATGTGGAGCGATAGCTGGGGAAACAATGCATGTTCGAACTTGTGAAATAAGCTTGACTTGCCTAATGAACTTGTCTAATTGTTACAGGAGCAGTTACATTATCTTTGTGCAGACCGAAACATTTTGGCTGCAGCTGTTGGTACATTGTGTCTTAAAACACTTTTATTTTTAAGAGTTGTCTGCTTTTCTGAGCCATGTCTGAAGAGTGTATATGTGAACATTTATGGCATTGTTTTCTTTTTGTCTGTCAGTTTTTAATAATTTGTTTATATGCATATTTAACTTATAGTTCTGACTCATCAAATACCGATTGCATGTTTTATTTTTTTACTGATGGCTGCAATCTGTGTCAGATCATTTGTGAACAGATGAGATGGAACAAATCCGATGATGCAGCCTTGCAACAATGGTTCTAAGTCTCTTGTCCAAATTGTCCGGCACCATCTTGTTTTTTTTTTTAACAGAAGTGACCACATTAGTAGGAGCGAGGGGTGGAGCCTGACTGAGAGCTCGAGGACACTGCACGCCCTCCTCCTCCACCTGCAACCTGGTGGCATTGAAGTCCAGATAAATGTAACATTAATGAAAGTCATAAATGACATCAAAGAAACTGTCACATGACAACGACTTTGATTTGTGTTTGATTTACAATCTGTGTGTGTGTGTATAAAACGTATATAACATATATATATATTTAAAAAACAACAATAATAATTAATAAAACTAACAAATCATTTCATAACCCCCCCATATGATGAACACATGATCATTACTTTAAGTTAAAATAACTATCAGAGGTCAGATTGCTGCATCCTTAGATTTTTTTACGTCAACTATGAACAATGCAATGTTGTGTAACTTTAAGCACTTTGACTGTCGTCTGTGCACAATATGTTTTAATGTTGCACTTTATTTCACATTTTACACTTTGTCTTCTTCATTGTGCGTCTCGTGGAGCTGGTGTTGGTTGGTGCACTGAAATGAATGATGTATTTTCTTTCACCAACGATAACTGCTGTGTTTTTTTGTTTCACCCACTTGGTTTTCAGAAGGTGAAGCGGGACCGGGAGAGGAAATGATGAGGAGTAATCCTAAAAAATGTTTATATGTATTTGGTCCCCAAATATCTCACAGAGAGTGATTCCTTCTTCTGATGAAAAGTAAAGATTATAACAATAAATTGAAAAATGATATATAATCCTCACAAAGTACAACTAACCACAGATAGATTTATTTTGCAGTCAAATATACACAAACTGGGACATGAATGTTGGACACCTAAACACATGTTTACACACAACAAAAGTTGGATGAAATTTTATATTTTCTTTCACATTTAAGTTAGCTTACTTATATCCTTGTGAATACTTGCCATTACGTACACATGCATACAGAATACAATCCAACCTTTAAACATACTCAGACGCACACCCGCACACACACACACCCGCACACCCGCACACACAGACACACACACTCTGAAAACTGGTACATAAACATCTACAAAAACACGGTCACAAACATTACAGGTCATCAAGAGGTTCACCTGTGTGCCAAAAATATACATATACAGTGTATTGTAGATATGATCAAGAAAAGACATCATTTGTACACTATGGCAAATTCATAGCAGGCGACATTTAAGAGCAGCAGAGCAACGACAGTACATTCAAAAATTCATTTGCAGTCAAAACAACTTACACTCGAACTCAGCACTGAATAAAACTGGCTCAATGTAGCACAGAGATTTATTACATTTGAATCAAATGTTTTGGGAATACGTTAATTTGATTTTCGCTGAGATTTACATGAGACAATGTCCGAACAATGGGGAATCAAAATGTACAAATTTAAGTTCACTGAAAAAAACCTTAGATGGTTTTCATAAGTCTCAAGTCTTATTTTCTTATAATATTTTTGTGGCTGAACATTGCCAGTAACATTAAAACAAAATGTCTGTGTGGTATTTTCACAGTTAGTTGAGAGGAAAATGCTTCTATCTCTGATGTGATGTAACATTTATTTGAATTCAACATTCATATGTCATTTCATCCATCATACTCTCTATTGTTCATCCATGAAATGAAAAGTTTTAGTGGAGGGTTTCATACTTTGCCAGTACGACCATGAAAAAGGCATTCAATTGTATAAATCTTTAAAAAGTCTCAAATGTGTCCTATAGTCGTATTGTTTATCAGTATGTAAACATGCTGCAGTTTTAAGTATATTCCTTGTGCTAAGCTAAGCTAACTGGCAGTAGCTTCATATTCAGCCCACACACAGTTATATCAATCTTCTCATGTAATTCTCAGGAAAACATTAAAAAGCATGATTCCCAAAAAGGTAAAACCAAGGACATTTGTCAATGGATTTTTTTAGACATATAAAAAAAACATAATGTTTAAATAATAATTGATAATAATAAAAAGAGTCTTTTTGAAAAGAGTCAGCTTTAGCCACAGTGAAGCGAAGGTGGATTTTGTTGTTGTGCTCAGAAATACTGGCAATTCTTCAAAGTTCCTCCCATCCCACAATATACAGGCGCTTTGTTCTCAAAGAACATACATGGAAATGTGGGGATTTGAGACGGGGGAGCTACAAGCAAAAATCTCTAACTCTTTTATCATCCAAAGTCGCACACTGGGCCTCATCCAGAGTCCAATTTAAATCTTTGCTGATAAGTACGGAAAAATAAACAAATGAGGTCTTGTGTTAACAATGAGATGTAAAAGTATGTTAACGCTCACTCTACACCTTCTCCCTCCAAAAATCCAAGGTTCAAAAAGCAAAATCAGTGCTGGTCCAAACTTTCTCCTCTGTTTTAAACTAACAAAATAATATTCCAACGCTGTGCTGCCACCTTGTGGTTAATAAATATACAGCACTGACATGGTCAAGTAAGGAGTTTTCTCCCCTTGATTTTTTCTCGGACAGTAACAGCTTTGAGACATGGTCGTTTCCATCTGAGCCGATTCCGACTCAGAGTGACGGCTGGTGATACAACACGTAAGCAGCAGCAGAGTGTTTTGTCCAAAAGCAGCGGAGAAGACGCCTTTGACTGATGCATTTCTCCCGTCACGTTTATGTTTTTATCTTTCTACAGGTTGTCTTAATATTTCATCTCTCGTTACATCCTCTGCAGCTTTGGACAGCAATTTACTGAAAGTGTTGTTGTTTTCTTTAAAGTCAGAATGGCACTACATGTATGAAATTGCATGAGTCTTAAAAGTTATTACACAGTGAAAAGCATGTACACTGTACATTGAGTCACATTAGATGGCACTGGTTGATGGGAAATAAATATACATCCTTACAATATCACAAATTCCTTGTTTAGAGTCGATACATTCTTTTAATCCACTCAAATGACAGTACAAAACAAACCCATAAATAACTTGAATAAATATGGTGAAAAAATTCCCTCTGTACAAATCATCCCCCTTAATCCTAAGAAATGATTCGCCCACCTGGACAGGTATTGTTTGTCGAGACTGAAAAGAGAAAATGAGCAACACGCAGCGATTGTCAAGAGCTGTCACATTAAAGCATTTTGTGATGACTGGGTATTTTCTCCGTGATGAAGCTGTTTATGTGTTTAAACTTAAGCGCTCGTTTCACTAATAAACAAGCAAAAATTACAATCCACCAATAAACCCCACCGCTGTACATTCTTTCCAGTAGATGATCGTTGCCCTGTAAATAAAAGCGATTGCTGTTTGTGACTAACTAGGCACTTTGGAATATGAGTGTGTGAGATCTCAGAATTCAAAATGAAGAGCGGTTTGATATGGCACGATGGGTTGAAGGAATCCTGTCATTGGAAAGAGCATGTTGAGGGTTTGATTATCACTGGCTACAATAAAATACTGCACAGATAAACTCATGGCACTATGAGAAGCTTTGGATAAAAGCATCCACGAAATGGCACATTTACTATTTATGTTCACAGTCTGCATTAAAACATGTCCGACAAGTGTGCAAAAGAGAAAAACGAGCTGGAGGAAACTACTCTTGTGCTGGTAAACACCTCTACAGCGACAAGTGTAGATTTGCAGCGTATTTTTCATTTTTAAATAATTTTCTTCATATATCCGGGGGTTTCAACCTTTTTTAGGCTGTGACCCTTTAAGTCCACTCACTGTCCCTCATCAAGCAAACAAGGAATTTAGCTTCTCATCTTGTTTATATTCTACAAGAAAAAATATCAAACGGAATATTTTTATGGAGCAGACACTTGTCTTCCTCAATTTAATTTATCTCCGAGGTCGGGAAACACTGCTCTTCATTTATTTTGGCACTATATTCCTACATACGCTGTTCAATAGGATTTAGGATATGTGATGAAGTCGTCTACAGATCTGGGCTCCAGTTCCTTTTGTTTTTTTTAAAAGGCTGTTACAATACTGTGTTATGCAAATAGAAAGAAACTAGACACCGAACGGAACTATTTACAAAGTCCATGAGTTGTTGTTTTGTTTTTAAATATATCTTTTGACATACTCTGTACTTATGGCTGACTGTAGAAAAATGTTCAAATTCAAGATGAAACATTAAACTATGAGCATTTGTACAAGCAAGGCGAACATTTGGTTGATATTTCCCTTTGGACTGTTGTGAGATCAGATCCAGTCTGGTGACGTATGGCACTTTGAGTCACATTGATTTTACACCGACAGCCAAACATGACCCCATAATTTCATATTAAATTTTTCATCTGTTTCACAACTTGTAGTGTTTCTATTCGAACAAACTCGACCTTAATATTATTTGTAAATGAAACAATGTATTGGGCAGAAATGAACATTTTCATATTGGCAGAAAGGGAACTCTTAATATCTCCTTAATGTTTTAATTCATAAAGAATAATTTGTTTGTAAAAAATATTAAGTGCATCATTATTCATAAAAGTTTGCAACCTACAGAGACCACTGCAGAATTATAAATACTCAAATAAATTTGAAGTGTGAAAGCCAGCTAAGCACCTCTAATGAATCTCCAGTAAATACTACAAAATATAAGAGGTGTGTGGGGCCACTTTGGTCTGGTCTGGTTGGTCTGGATGTACGTTAGTGGGACGGCACCTTGAAGTCGACTCCGGGCCAATCACATGCTCAGGTTGGGAGGCTGATGTTGGCGTTCTCCGCCAGCGGGCTGGACATCCTTATCTGGGAGCTGCTCTTGCTGAGGATCGACAGCTGAGTCCCGCCGTTCACTCCACTGCTGGCCAGCGAAGGGTGCCGCTGCTGCTTCAGGTCCACAGCAAAGTACCGGTTCACCGTCCAGCTGCGCCATTTCCTCTTGATCTCCGACTGCACCTTCAGGGAGAAACTTCACAAGGTCATTTTTAATGTACTTTAAGCTGCACCAGCTCCATGAAAAGGTACAGTACACTGCAATTTGGTGGGTAAGAAGTGAGATATTAGATGTTTGGATATCTGATATGAGATGATACATGTAAAGCAGCAACAGTTGTTTCATAGGAGAAGCTGTAACTGTTAAAAATACCATTAAAACATTCTTATGTTTGATAACATCTACATTTAAAGTGTTTTCATAAATGTTTTTATTCCCCTACGGGTAATTAACACAAACACAGTTGTCTGTACTAAACAATCCTTATGTTAAACTCATGTATTCATCAAAAATAACTTTAAGAGCAGTTATGATATCAGTCTACATGAAAATAAGATGTGATAATGAGACATAGGACAAAATCTTACTTCTCCGTTGAGGAAACAATAGAGAACAGCGACCACAAAGCCCTGAGGGGGAGAGAGGAGAAAAAGAAATCAGAGTAAAATCATCTGGAAGTATGTTTTCACCTTTCAATACAATTTTATTAAAAAATATAATAATAATAATAATTGTCCTCGGCATATCTTTCTTTAATTTATTCTTTTTGGTTGCAGAAATGTATTTATACACATTCATCGCTTCCAGTGAGTCATTATTGTTATTTATGGTTGGTTGCGTAGCTGTGGATAGTGAGATGAAGGTTTAAACATCCGTCTCCTTAAGAGCCTCTTTGTATCCTGTGCACTCAGATGGTTCATCATCACGACTTCTCATCCATCGTTTCTCTGTCACTGAAACCGGACGTTTGAGTCGGTGCTTCTCGTACCTGGAAGGATCCGAGTCCCAGTTCAAACACCAGCCGCTCCCGCTTACTGACGTCCTCAGGTGAGAAGGCGAAGACGGTGTAGTGAATACCAAACAGAGGGATGAGCAGGAGGGTGGAGCGCGCCAGACGCCTGTGCGCACACACACACACACACACACACACACACACACAGATTGTAAATCAAACACAAATCAAAGCGGTTCTCATGTGAACACGTTGCACTGCTGCTGGTCGTCTGGATGTGATGCAAGAACAGAGCCACTGATGAAATGTCATGATGACACACTTTCTGTCTATTGATGTGACCTGGTTCTGTTATAAACAGATTCCAATTTAGTCAAAACACACATTTACTTTGCAGATTGAATCATAATTAACTGTTGGTTTTATTCTATTTTTCTTGTCGTCAAAAAAATCCCACAAAAATAGAAAAAACATGATGTCATCCATCTTTATTTACTGTCTGTGGTTGACAGTGTGTGTGATCAGGTGAACAGGGGAAATATTATCTGAACATCAGTAGCAAGTTATTTGTTTATACACAGTCTGTGGTATTAAGAGATGGACTAACACATTGTTGGTTTTCATCTTTTAATGGGATTTGTTGAAAATAAAAATTATTTAAAAAAACCCACAAACCTTATTGGTGAACTGCAATTAATCCCCGAAGTCACACAGATGGACAGAAACGCACAAAGTACACACAACAGATGATACCTTGATAATGGGACAACACACAAATGTGCAACACAATGGTTTTTACGGTGCAGATCAATGATGCTCAGGGGTTATTACATGTTAACGTTGTAGTGTTGGAGGGGAACAACTATAACAGCTGCTTTCAGACATGCACTGAACTTTTCTGGAGCGGCTGTATGTGAGAACACAAATGTCTGAGCCAGTTACTCCAGATATTTTCTGGAACTTCCTCTGCCAGTCCCATCGTAGAGTGTTGATTATATTTCTAACATGCTACCGATGCAAAGCTAAAAAACAAAAAAGCAGAAAGAGTTCAAACATCTCCAGGAGCCAGAGACGTTAGGCGATAAGATTAGTGATTAGAGATCTGTGATTTCTATAGTGTATAAACTGTCCTCCTGCCTCTAGCATGCAGACACCACCACTCTCCTCACTGGTGTTGGACACGTGGTTGTGAAGGTGGAGGTTACAGGTCAGTGACGGTCCTCACAGGGACAGACGTACAAACGTGCACACATGTACTGTATGTGAGAGACAGGACGCATCTGGGAATCCAGACCGTCAAAGAAAAACTCGAAGAACTCCTGGAGTGAAACACACACACACACACACATGCAGTCGGCACAGACAGACAAACAAACACGCATGTCTGAGGACTCACATACACACACACACTTACAGCGTGATGGTGGATAACTCTGACATCCTGCACGAATGCTGAACAGCCTGTGTGGGCTCACTGAAGCATTTCTGAGCACAGCTGCTACACAGCACAAAGACAACACAACAACACAACAAAGACAGTGTCTTTAGGGACACAGACACACAGTCTCACACAACACACGCACACACGTCTTCACACTTGGTCACGCACATACAGGTCTGAGCAACAGATGAAAATGACATTATCTGCAGGGCCTCAACAGACACGATCCAGTGGGAGCGGAGCAGGAGTGATGTCTGGCTACAGTACAACTCCATAATGAGGCTGGAGCTTCCTGCCAACAGGTAGTACAAACAAATCTGCTGTAAAAAAGCGTCTGAGATTTATTGAAACGTTATAAATGAGACTGTTACAGCTCATCCCAGTCCATTTATTATTGCATGGCTCCTGTCTGAACGGAGCGCCGCTGTGTTTAAAGGACACATCTAGTATTTAAAGTGTCCAGAGTTAGTCAGTAAATAAAGTCCAGAGTTTCTCCTGGTGTCTCACTGAAGGAAACATGTCGGCGTTTCTATGTTTTACTGAAGTTCATTGATACTTTTCTGTCATTTCCAGCTGGACGGGTAATTTTGGCAAATTCTATTAAACTTTAAACAGTGCAGTTTGGGGGACTACTTTCTTCAGCGGATGAGTAATCACTTGGCGCTCTATTGGGAGCATTGACAGCAGCAGGACTGTGTTTGTGTACTGATCATCTCAACCAGTGTGACAGTGTAGCTTTAAGACAAATGAGGCTTTAGAGCACAGACAGTATATAAAGTGAAGCCCAATCTACCGTGTCATCCATATCTATATATATAGTCTCTTCTTTAGATACAAACATTTGTGAGTAATTATTATTGTATTGTTTTGGTTTTATCAGAGGATAAAAGACATAGAACATCACCAGACTTTCATTTAAGCAAAGGTGAATAACATTTATTTTCTAATTGTTTCAATCATAAACATTTTTTCAAATATTAATCTATCCTCATATGCAGGCACACACACACACACACACACACACACACACACGGTTTTGACATTTCTGAAGAACATCACACGTGTTAGTGACTTTTAACTTACAGGTAAATGCTTGATTCATTTCCTCCGATATCAGGCGACTGCAGCTTCTGCACCAGGATGATAATGATTCCGATGAAGAGGACAAAATTGATCTGAGGAAAAAACAGAAACAAAACAGTCATCACTTAATTTCCGGTTAGACAAAAAAAAAAAAAAACACAAGAAAGAATGAATGAACAAATCTGTCGTACCATTATAGAGGCCACGACAGGTCCTTTGATCACCCACCAGAGGGCAGTGTTCTCATTCGTATCCCAGCATCTGGAGGAGGAGCACAGTGTCAATCAATAATCATCCAGCATGCTCCACTTCACTTTCTCTCCACACGTGGTGATACACAGCACAAAACAGAGCATCAATCAAGTGGCCATTTGCAGAGTGAGCGAGGGAAGGGTCACAGGAGAGTGGGGGGGATTTAAAATGGAAGCAAAGCTGACAACAAATTTAATCTTCAGTATTTTAAAAACCGGACTATTACTTATATAGATCTGTTTTCTTACACTTATATAAATACATATATATTGTTTACAGGAAATAGTAAATTACAGAGCTGGAGTTAAGGGTATGGAACTAAATAAGATAATATTGATAAATTAACAATGACAAAAACAGTGTCACGTGTTCCCTAAATTCCTGCAACTGCAAAGTTCATCTAGTTTGATTTGTGTGTTTGATTGTGAAAGTGGATAATTTGTAATTTTTTTAATTTGTTTTTTTAATTTGTACAATTAACCTAAGACAGTAAAGTAAGTAGTATTATTGAAGTGTACTTATTTTCCACTGTAATCTCAGGAAGTGAAGGTGGGGACGTACCCAGTGTCATGAAAGTGGAGCCTCAGAACTGCCCAGACAGTCACACAAATAGTGGGAGTCCCTGTGATAATACAAACACAGCATACTTGTCATGATTACAGATAATTACTCCAATCACTCAGATCCTAGTCAGATCAAGCCGACACATAACGAATGAAAGTTTGCTGTCAAATCTGGGGTCATTCAGTTTTCGTCTATAGAAAGTTCAGATCATTTTTTAAATAAAAACAAAGAAAGGTCTGTAAAACCTGCCAGGAAATTACTTGTTTTCATCCTGCATTAACAAAAACACACTGTTCAGAGAATAAATAATAATAATTCTCCCTCTCTCTCCCTGTTCTGCTGTATATCTCAAAATCAGTTCTAAAAATCTAATTTAGTCAAAGACGGGAACAAGACAACCAGATTTTCACAGATAAAAATAAAAGAGGGAAGTTCCCACTTTTCACCACTGGTCAGACGCAGACTCACCCCATCCTACGATGGTGTACCAGTAGAAGTATCGTCTCTCGGGAAAGAAGGTCTCCACCAGCAGAGTGAAGAGATACAGACCTTCAATGAAGAGCCAGAAGTAGTTGGACATGACACAGTAATGGAAGAAAACCATCACTGCTTTACACGCCACCTGCACAGAGAAACACATACGCATTAGTGCAGCAGAGGTCGATGGACGTCTGGTTCTCTTGTGACTTTTACATTGAACTGAGTCAATTCTGCAATAATATATAACATACGAGTATAAGAAAATATAAGGTGCTTAACATTATATCTTAAATTAAAGAATATAACATAAAATATAATATGAAGCTGGAGAAAAAGACTGCAGCCTTGTTCTATCCAAAGTTTGTTCAGTCCCTTAAAAAACATTGGCGTCAACACACTGCAGACCCTGCTCCCGATTAACATTTTGCACAATTCGATGAGCGACGATTAAAAGTGTCTCTAATATTTCACAACCTGCAGGAAAGGACCCACCTGTGTCAGGTGGACTGTAATCTAATCAGATCATGTTAATGAATAGAGTCCACATGGCGAGCGGGGGGGTCAACCAATTACAGCGATGATGTGATTTCCAGTAATACCATGTCATGATAGTGACCTGTGATTGCCATGGCGACCGCGGTAAAGAGGAGGGTTTAAAAAAAGCCCAAAGGAGCCATTGATATGTTAATGGGCCTCTAGTAGAAGGTTTCCACTGGCCTTGCAGAAGCCATTAGCGTAGCTAATTAGCTTTATTTATCATGGCTGCCGAACAAAAGTGAGCTACGTGTCGCTACCAGACAAAGGCTATAAGAGCTTGTTCTGCATGTGTAATCAGGGAGCATTACTCATGTAATTGTGTGTTTACTTTTTCTAACATTTGCGTGTGATTGAAGCTCCATCAAAAGGTGAACATCAAATAGGAAAAGACGCGTCGGTCTGTTTCTGAGCCTTGTTTTGCATCTGAAGCAGAACAGCCCGATTGTATGTTTCACTCTCTGCAATTAAATGTTGCATTTCTATCAAAGTCTTTGGAAACGTTCTCTGGAATCACTCAAATAATAATCTCCACAAACATCGTAAACCTGCCAGCAATTATTTTGTCCGAGTAAGGATCATTTAGATTAATAAAGGCCTCATTTTGCAATTATCTGCATAAAATTTAAATTAATGAAATAATTAGCCTGGGGAATTAAAAACACAATTATCAATAACCAAACAAGCAGTCGTGGTGGTTTTCTTTCCTCCAGATGACGACCACAGATACTGTTTGTTTGATAGAGCCTCTAAACGGCCGTGCAGTACATTTATATGAACGAGCTGCTGTCACTGACTGTGTGGACGAAGCAGTGGTCGCTGTCTTCCTGAGCGTACAGCACTCCGTCCTTGATGAAGACGGAGATGGCTCTCAGGATGAAGGACACAAACAGATTCATGTGGATGAAGTTTCTGGTGCAGTGGAGCTTCCTGCGGAGAAGAGAGGAGAAATAAATCTAATCTCATCCTGTTATTCACACCACTGTTTAAAAATGCATAGATAGATATAGATACAGATAAAGTAATTAATTAACAGGTTTTTAATTATAACTTCAACCTTTGGCTGTTTTTACTAGAATTTCATTACCTGGCTCACTGGTTCATGGCATAGTCATTATACTGTTTTCTTTAGCTCAGCATGCCATGTAGTTATAGATTAAAACTCAGGAAGTCTGAGTTAGCTTGTCAGTAAAGTGCTTATATGTTACAGGACAGTTTCTCAGGGTCCATTAATAATTCCATGAGCCCAAAATGAAATTTTTGCAAATCTTCACAACTGAGAAGCTGGAATTTGGGAATATTTGGCATTTCTATTTTGAAAAACACCAATTAAGTGATTCTAATCTTCTATTCATGGACCACTGAGGATAAAGAAACTAAGACTAGACATGGATTCTGTCTTTTATTGGATTTCTTTTTCATTCATTAATTTTTTTAATCCAAAGAAACTCAAAAATACAGACACACATATGCCAAACATACAAAATACACAAATAACAAAAAAGATGTTTTAATTTCTAAATGGGGAAACAATAACTTGAGTTTATTGAAATGGTTGAAAAAAATGATGCTTAAATGAAAACATTATGATGCTCACCTGAATCTGCAGAGGATAACCATGGCTGTCGTCAGAGACACCAACGATGTGCTGTAGCCGACGGTGTACAGGGCCTTGACTGACGCGTAGTACATGTCCTGAGGTCACAGAGAGAGGTTCAGTGTGTGAGTGTGTGTGTGTGTGTGTGTGTGTGTGTGTGTGTGTGTGTGTGTGTGTGTGTGTGTGTGTGGGTGAGAGATGGAAAGGGAAACTTCGATACGGTGCGAGAGGACATACAGGTTTGGTGGTGTTGTCGTAGAAGTAGCAGACGTCCACGTAGTGAGGGAAAGGTTCGGACCAGCCGTACTCGGTGCAGTTACGACTGACCCTCCCCATTTCTGCATGGAAAAAAAACTCTCTCTCAACTTAACAGAAAAACATTGAGCTGCGTTTGAAGGAGGTGGAAAGTGACACGTTTCACTCACCGTCTTCCGGACCCATGATGTCATGGAAGAGCTCGGGACAGTTGACCACCACAACTTCTCCGACATTGGCCCCCTGCCAGCAGGTCAGGTTGTCCCACATCCACGGACACACTGAGGACGAGAGGAAGAGACACACATGAGTTCAGTCCTGTAACTGTTTCCTCTGCACATTACGTTTGCTGTTATTACACTTAACAAATGACACTGACACTAATTAAATTGAACTAAACTGAAATGAATTGAATTTCACGGTAATTGAATCGGAGATAATAGCATTTCATTTCCAAAGATATCGAACATTTTCACGAAACCCACACAGAGAAAACAGCTGCTCACAAGGAAGCTGCTTGGAAATCCTTCTACACATCTCGACTCATCTCAGTCGGATCAGTTTAAAGGAGACATATGTGATGCTCTTTGTTAAAACTATTGCCAAACTGTTGCACCTTTCCTCCCACATCTCCACAGTGCACAGGCCAACATCACAGACAGAGCAACACACGACATTCACACTTAGTAGAACGTACAACTCTCCCAAAGCTGAGCGATGCTACACAAGATTGATGTTCTTATAGTAGCGATACAAAAGAAAAAGGAAAACCGAAATTATTTATTTGTCATAAAACGTAGTTAGAGAAACTGACAATAATAAATAAATCCTGGATCTGCACCAGAATGTAAATGGTTCTTCCCAAACCCAGGCCCCATCCCACTAAGTTTGATGAAATCAGTTTGGCAGTTTTTGCCAAATCCTGCAAATAATAAAAGAACAAACAAATAGAAGATTAGAAAATATGTCTCTCAGTATAATGGAATAGAAATAACTATCGAAAACAAAGTCTCAACTACTTTCATGAAGGTTAGATTTGTATCAGCACACATGTTTCAAATGTAAAATAAACTGTGAACTGAATGTATGGGTTTAAAAATCCTCATCTGTCTTTTGGCAGATTATTCTGATACAATCCACTGAATTTGACTCAACCCAGTTCAATCTCTATTTTTGTTTGGTTTTTGTTTTGATCTGGTTCTATTCATCTGCCTCCATCATTACCTGACTCAAGCTCACTAAAAATCTCCCATCTTTTATTTTCAGTGCCGTTACATCACAGCTTTGATTTCTCTATCTCTCTTGTTCTGGTTCCATGTCCTTTATCTTCAGCACCTCCTCGTCCCTCCCTCCTCCTCCTCCTCTCACCAGCTCTCTAGGTTTAACCACGTTGTTGATGCTCGGGCGGTTTTATAGCGCTGCAGTGGCAGGTCTCATTGTGTGTGTGTGTGTGTGTGTGTGTTCACTTACATGCATTTTGTGTCATCTGTGTGTTTGTGTCTCTGGACATGCCGTTGTGTGTGCGAGTGTGTTTTCAGTCCTTCCTCTATTCTGCACGGCTCTCTAATCTGTTTTGGTTCTGTCTGGTGAGCCGGACATGAAGCCAATTACCTTTTAAAGGGCAAATCGGAGCCAAATGAGCCGCACTGAGCTACAGAGGTAACCGGCTTAATAAAGCACTCTGTCTGCATCACTGGCCGCCTCACACAGGATCCCACAGCGGGCCGAATCTTCACTGAGCTGCAAAGCCACAGAATAATAACTACACATGTAGTGCACATGCTCGGTGCAGAGCACATGCACAGAAACAGAGATGGATCCTAGAGATGGACACAGATTCTTAAGATGATCTGATCAAAGGACTGAGTGAGATTTGGGTTTTGTATCCGAGTCACGGAGTGCAGCTGTAACAGAATACTGATCAGAAATTCAGAGGTAATGTTTTTATATGCGACCACATGCCACAGAAGAATTCCTTCATTCTTTAAAACATTGATTTGAAAGGGAAACTATGCTCCTGTATTAATCTACTAATTGTCAAAGAAGACAAGTAAGTAGCAAAATTAAAGCAAGGCCGCGGCTACTGATTATTTTCATCACAAACTAATGAGCCAAATATTTTCCTTTTTAATTGATTGATCACTTGGTCGATAAAATGTCCCTTACAATGCCTGAGTGACATCATCAAACTGTCTGTCAGTCCAATACAGACAAGATTTTTTAAAGATGGAGAACGATTTAAGATATATGTGGCTCTGCAGGAGAAGTCTGTGTCTGTATCTGTGACGTGACCGTCAAGTCTTAGATGCCACCATGAATCCGAACGAATCATTCTCTCTTACATTAGGACGAACTACGAGATTAAAATGGTTCAGTTCTGAATAGTAAACACTGCAATTCATTTAACAACAATTCATTTTGCAGTTTCTAAATTCCGTTGGGTGGTGATTACAGCACCAGACAGCAAATCATTATGGAGCAATTTCACATGAGCTGCAGACCAATCTGAGGCTGGAGTACTGCAATTAAAAATATATTAACAGATCAATCATGAAATACGCATTTAGAAATGGACCTGGATAAATCAACATGGAAAATGTGTCCAAACAAGCTAGAAGATGCCACCTCTCACTTATTGTTACCCTGTCCTCATTTCTCTTTTTTTCTTTGTCAACGTTTTTTCAACGCCTTAAGTTGGATTTCTGCAAAGCAGGCGTTTTTTATCTCCTCATCAACGATTTGCTGTCAGCAGAAACAGTGGACGGTTCCTCTTACAGGAGAGGAGGGGGTGTGTGTCCGTGAGTGGAGACAGTGTGACCATACATTCTGAAAATGGATATCTCAATACAGAATGAACAAGCTGCCCATGTCTCAGAGGAACAAAGGATTAATGTGTGTGAATGCAAATTTAAAGGTACAGCGTGTAGAATTTTGTGATATCACCTCATCCAAACATGATAAAGAATCTAGCTTAGCTTCAGTTGTCATAAAAACTCAAAAGGTGTTTAGTTTGTTCAGTCTGGACTAATGTAAAAAACATGGCAGCCTCTGTAGAAAGGGTCTCCTCGATGTAAATATAAAGTATTTAAATATAAAGGGCCTTTTCTGGGGTAAAGAAAACTACAAGTTACACAATTTAGATGAAACGAACTAGTGAAAACATCATGAGGATTATTCTACATTAAATTTCTGCCAATAGTTCCCTTTCACCTAAATCTTACACACTGGACCCTTAACCCAATCAAGAGATCTTTATATACGATGCACTCAGTCGAGCCCACCACGGATGAGGAAACGGAGATAAAAACACATGCAAAGATCTCATGCAGTTTGCAGGAAGACTTCAGGGCCGACCTTTAAGAGCTACAGATGAAAAACGAGCTGAACTTACAGCTCCTCTCTTTAAACGTGTTATCTCTCACACTGACGGCTCGATTTTTAACAAGCTAAGCACAGCACACAGTTTAAATGCGTGATGCAGGTGCATTTAAAGGCGACTTTTACTGGTGTAACGGATAAAAAAATATCACTGCAGCAGGCAAGTGGGTCAACAGGGTTGTATTAAGTCTTTTTTTAATTAATCGTGTGTATTTTTGTGCAACCACAGTGTGTGTGTTCTTTTACTATTTTGATAATGCTTCCTTAAAGTAGCCTGATACTGAAATACTAAAAAACAGTTTTGTTGGTGCATTGCGCACTACGCTGTCGCTAAATGTGCACTCAGACAGGCGCAAGTGCATTTGCCATTCAACCCCTTTAGAACTTTAAGAGTGCTTCACGCTTTAGAGCCGGATGAGACATATCCTCTCATCTCATTGTTTTCAAGAAATGTTACTGATGAAATACATCGTAATTCACTGAAATACTCGTGGGAAATGTGCTTATTGTAGCAAATGTAGTTTGTTTGTCTGCAAAATATTTTAAATTTGCATTTCAGACAATGGCTGATGATTTAGGAGAGGGGAGACATTCTTAAGCAGATGAAAATAATGAAGAAAATTCAGAGGAGAGATGGCTCACGTTGAGTATAGCCACTAAGTTTAGGGTAACGGCAATGATTTATGTAAAAGCCAAATGTTTAAGTCATCAAATGGTTTTTATTTCATGTCTCTATCTCCTTCAGAGGCTGAGAAATAAAAGTTTTTGTGCAGCATTGGTAACTTTTCAGAAAACCCTCAGATTTTAGGTGACCATTTTCAAACAAAGCTTTGGTTCTGTTGCTCTGAAACTAGCAAAGACTTCTGTCAAGCTTTGAGCTGCGGATGTAGAGATGGCCCTCGATCTTTAAGGTTTCATGTTTCTTTCTTGGTGGCTGTCAGAAAAGCTGTGACTCACAGTCCAGTCTGGGAGATGAAGTCTGCTGCGCAACTGTTGAGCTGCAGGAGGGCTGCAGCAGTTGCTAATGAAAACCACAATCCATAGCCAAGAAAATAATTGCTTCCAGGGATCACATGGCAACTTTCCTGTGTTTTTGGAGGGGAAACATGTGAACGCAGCTCAGCGTGACATTACAGGCAGACACTTGGTTTGTGAACTGTTTATCATCGGATGGTCGTCTGTGCTGCAAGGTGATGTATTTATAAACTGAACATGACATGAAGAAACGTTCATCTCTCGTCCCTACATGTTTCTCTGTGACCTTTTCAAAGCTGATTGGATAAACTGAAAAATGCCAGATCGCTCAGCAAAAAAAAAAAAAGAAGCCTGTCGTCAATTCATTGCTGGGAAGTCGCATGAAGCTCATGACCCAATACATAAACTATTTAATCACAGAGCCATGAAAACCGGTGGTGTCAGTCATCGCCCGATTGTGCAAACAGAAGGATGTGTGAACAGAAACACAAACTTACCCAACTCAAGGTCATCGCTGGGGTTGTGCAGCGCCATCCTCTCCATGCATTTCTCATGTTCACGCTTTATTATACAGTGCTCGGACTCTGAGGCCACCTGGAGAAAATACACAGACACAAAGCTGACACACAACACACTGATGCACACACACACACACACACACACTGTGACATTGAATGTGGTCTCACTCGGGGAATGACTTAAGCAGAATATTGTTTGCCAACGTTAATTGATGTGAACGCCTTCTTATGGAAAACCTGATTGCTAACAATTGATTCGTTACACACCCAGCAACATCATGATTTATTTTGGAGTTCTATCTTTTAGCTCTAATTTTAGTTTCTACCAAACATAAAACTTCTCCCTCTGTTTGTATCAATGTGTATTTATCTATACTACCCCACCCCCCCCACCCCTCATGAAAAAGTAGAAATATGTTTAATTACTTCCCATGAACCCTATGTCGTAAAAATCTAATCAGAAATGATGTAGGGTTTATATAAACAGATTCCACATGTGAATTTGAAGAATCTGTGGGCGAGGTATGAGATGTTTAGGGTTGAGAAACCTTCTTGCGTCTGATTCCACTTTGACCAGTCACGTTTGAGCAGACTCTGGTTGCCTGCAAGTTAATAGTCCATGTGGGGAACAGCAGGGACTGAACACATTGACAGAAATGCTTCAGTTTTCTGCTTTCTGCGTTTTCATTTATCTGCATTCATATGCAGGTAGTGGTTAATAAAAGACCTACAAAAAGCATGGCTGCTCGTGCTTTGTGTGGAGAAACACGGCATTTGCTTGGCGACTTTCACCATTCGCTCTCTTCATTTTATATGATAAAGGCAAACAGACCCCAAAATATATATTTATCTTGTTTTTGTGTGTTTCTCCATAGATTCGCAAACTGAAGACCACTTTTGAGTGATCAAATCGAATCCCTGAGACTTTTCAAATCCCCAACTTACAACCCACGTCAAATTCTGCGTCACTTTGATATTTAAAAAAAAACACTGTGTGAGAAAGTGGTGTCGTCTGATTCTGTGGTGCAGTCACAGAAACTCTGTACCCTGAGGTAGTAGAGTTAACAAACCTCTCTCAACTTCTCCATAACTCATTTTCACTCTCTCATGGCCAATCTCGGTTTTGCACCCCCAGCTTTCCTGCACCCTCCTCCCTCACTCTCACTATGAAATGATGGGTGTTATATATCCCGGCCCTCTGAGCCATGGCTGACTCTTCACTCCATCTCTCCGCGCCCTAATATGAATTCACTTCAGGCCTCGCTGCCTTGATAAGATAGGGCATCAGCCGACTGTGAAGATGTCTTAAGATTCACTTCCTCTCTCCATCGTGTTGCACGTGGAGAGAATTCTGAAGTGTTGAGTATTGTGCAGAATCATCTGAATCCACAAACAGTTCCTGCTTCACTAAACAAAAACAACAAGAAATCAGAGTCATCTTTTTTCCATCTTGTTGTTGGTGTATGATATTATTTAATGAAACTGACACTGGCGTTGTTAGAAAGAGAGACTCTTTGTACCCGTACCAAGCGTCCATGTTGCTAAGCAGCAGGTAACCAGCTAAGAGCCAACACATATTGACGGCGAGGCTTCCCAGAAATGAGAAATTATTGGATGCAGATGACTAAATGACTAATATCAGTTTGGCATGAGTGCAGACAGGCCTGTTAGATGACAATATGAAATATGTCCCTCATTAAGTGACTTATATGGAATCCTGGATAGAAATGTTTGATACTGAGGTGGAGGTGGATGGACGGGTTGAACAAACACAGGGCGGTGACCAGAGGAGACTGCGTGACTGGTACAATGCTGTGAATAGATGACAGGTTTGAAGCAAGTTAACTAAGAATTTAGGAAGAAAGACCTGTTTCAACCACGTCCACATTAAGACAACCAAGACTTGACTCCTCTCCTCTCCTCTCCTCTTCTCTCCTCTCCTCTCCTCTCCTCTCCTCTCCATCTTCCTCTCCTCTCCTCTCCTCTCCCTCTCCTCTCCGAAACAGATGTCTGTCCAGATAAGCTGCCCATTTTGAAGCAGCAGAATTTCCCTCCCCCAGGCTGTTTTCAAGGGCCAGATAACTGAGTGGCTCCCACAGCACTGTGCAGCACAGATAATAAAACTCCCATTTGACGTTGCAGACCACTGGCCCTGTGTACAGACCCATCTGACACACGACAAGTGCATCACAACAGACTATCTGCCACATCAGTCGCTGAAGGTCAGCGTGAGACTGCCTTGTGTAAAGATGTCAGCTGGAGGAACACTTCACATATGTTCAGGAACAATGTTAAATTAGAGGTTAGAAAAGACATTTGTGACCGTACGGACACATGGGGAATTCATCTCAGTCTCCCTGGTAACCATCAACAACGCAGACTATTACTGTTTTTTACTGATGATGAAGAAATAAGCAACACAATGAAAGTCAAAGAGTGAATACCAGGAAGTCTGAGTCACATTCAGTCACATTTATTTTAACAGTTAACATGTGTCTTCACCAAGGAAACTGCTGCTGCGCTGCATCAGTGTGTTGAATATAATGCCTCCCACACATCTCGCACAACTCCTCCATACTGCTTTTTATTTCTTTAATAGAAATGAGCAGATGAATCTCCGGTCAGTGAGGCCCTCTGTTATTGTTCTATAACATCCGGCCAGTCGCATTAACACAGAGCTGATCCAGGAGCTGTGAACGTATGCTGATGTGCTGAGGCGGCATATGGTGATCGCCATCCGTCCAGCGCCCGTCACAGGCACACAGAGTGTTCGTATGAAAATAGACCAGAGGAAGAGCGGAGAGAGAGGAGGCCAGTGAAGTGATGGTGACATGCAAACACACTCACAGTCCTTTGTATGGATATATGTATTCCTGTGTGCTCACACACACACACACACACACACACACACACACA